ATATCAGGGGTGTGAGACATCCAGTGGATTTCAAGCACAGACTGAAGGTAGCATTGATGAAAACGTTCCAGCATCTTCAGATATCTGCAATAAACTGCCCATGTCTCACATGAATATAACAAAGATGATGTAACACAGGCATTATATATTTTAATTTTTGTCTGTTTTTTTTTTATACCCTTCTGACTCCAGACATGGACCTTGAGTGCTGAAAATGCATCGGAGGCCTTCTTAATCCATAACACTATCTCATCATCAAGAGAGCAGTGGCAGTTAAGGGTGCTACCAAGATATACAAACATGCATACATATTCTTTTTAATCAGTATCACTCAAAGCAAGGTAGTATAGCCACTAGCATGCAAGGGGTTACAGGTTGTGGATGAATTAGTAATAGAAACATTAGTAATGAGGAGAAAAGAAAAGAGCAATCAGGAGGACAGTAGAAAGCGGTTGACATTGCATATAAACTTTTGCAGATTAAAGTTGGTTGGAAAGTATGGCGCCAGGAGGGAGTCCCACAAGTGCAAGATAAGAAACAATATGTATATGGCTACATCTAACTAGCTCAACTGTAAATTGATGAGATCCTGCTGCCAATCTAGTATCACACTTAAATTCATACAGTCTAGGTACCATAACAAAGAGCTTATCTGAACAATTACCATGAAAGTATTTATAAATAATGTACAGAGAAAAACCTTATGGCAGTGGGCAAATGACTAAAGTCGGGCTGCAAGATCAGGATCAACAATATTGCTGATTCTTCTTTGGGTCTTATGGAGGAGCTCCAGGAAAATAGCAGAGACACTGGACCGAATATGGCAGCAATATTGTAAGCATAGATGAATGGTAGACATAGATATGCAAGGTAAATTTTGGAGAGAAAAATTGTCTCACTCAACACAGTGAACTGACTTTTTAGCAGCTGATCTAGTGATGCATTCAATATAGTTTTTCCACTTCATGCCAGTTGAGAACATTAGCCTAAGAAGGCACATGTCACTTTCTTGGAGGATAGCATCAGCTTTTCAGCTTATGAAGAAGACCTGAATGCCAGACCCTGTCAAAAGCTTTTGAGATGTTCAATGCTACAGCCTGGGCTTTACCTTTTTTATCTAATGTTTGGCAATTATTGTTAGTATATCAGCATTTGACCTGGAGAAATGAAAACCGTATTGCTTGTCTGAGAAAAGGCTCTGTAATGAGAGATGATGAACCAATTCAGAATTGATTAAGGCCTCTAGGAGTTTCCCAAAAAGAGGCAGAAGGCTCATAGGCTGATAGTTGGATGGGTTGGATGGTTCACCAGAGTTCTTAAAAACTGGAACAACAGACAATTATTTCCAGAAAGCAGGAGGCAGTGAGGCAGTTTAGTGACAACAGGAGCTAGTTCGGGAGCACACTTCTTAATGACTATTACAGGGATGTCATTGGGTCCACATGCTTTGCTGGGATCAAGATTAGAGATGATAGCAGAAACCATGGAAGAGGTTATATGCATATCACTCAACAGAGAATCAGTTCTAAGTGGGAAGCAAGGATACTTCAGATGAGTAGAGTTTGAGGAGAATTTATGGGCAAAGCATTCAGTTTTATCAGCAGAGAATGATAACACCTCAAATCACTTGAAGAGGTGGGGAATAAAGAGCTTGCACTTACTTAGTACCCTATTACAGGGACACCAGTAGTCACGAGAGTCAAAGTTTTTAGGGGCTATGTGGTGCCTCATTCTCTCAACAAACAGGGACTTAGCTGCTTTGAGGATTCTCTAACATTTGTTACAAGCAGTTACAAATAGGCATCTGTTATGATGAGAGCTCTCCCACTGGTATAGCTGGAAATAGTGGTTCCTGTGTACTATGGCGGCTGAGCATGCTGGCATGAACCATGGAGAGGATTGTGGTTTCACCTGATATTTCTGAGAGTGGATGAAAGCATCCATGCCAGCTTTGACACAAGAAGAAACCTCAGTCACACAATTTTCAATTGAGAGGTTGACAATATCAGTCCAAGGGATGTCACAAAGAAAATCCCAGAGTGAGTCCCACTCAACATGCTGGTACTGGAAAGAGGTCTTATGGATAGGGGGTTGCTGTTTAATGGGTGTTTGGAAGGAGATATCGATAGTTACCACAGAGTGGTCCAAGTTACCAAGAGGGCAGTATTGTGAAGCTTGACAAGCACAGGGAAAGGAGGTAAGAAATAGATTCAATAGATAAGCATGTTGCTTGGTTTGGCTATGGAAATGAGTGGGGAAGTCTACAATTTGGGTGAGGAATTGGGCAATTGAAAAATTTAATGTCTGTATACTGGCAACATCAGTACCTTTAGAATGTTTCAGCCATGTACCGTGGTGAGCATTAAAGTCACTGAAGACAAAGATGTTTGCAGATGGATGGAGAGAAAGTACCTTTTCTATACTGTCAGCTATTGTGTCTAATATATTACAGTCTTAGGAAGAGAGGAAGTGATTAAGGAAAAAGCGATAGCTGACAGAGTTTAGTAGCAAAAGACTGAAGCACATAAAGGAGTCGTCAGTGATCTTGAGAAACAATTCTCTGGTCATCGGCAGATTTTTCAGCAAAGGGGAAGATACCCTGGAACCAAGAATTCATTGATTGCAGTGGAAGAATTCAAGTTGGTTTCACAAAGGGCAAAGATATCTGACGACTCTTCCAAGAGAAAGGATTGCTATGCTTCATAAGTTGGAATGGATATCACAAATATTGGAGAAATAAAGATTGAGTGGTGGGATAGATGGTTTTTTGTTAGCTGGTTTAGTTTTATTTCTTTTTGTTGGGATTTCATGAGATATGTTTTGAGAAGAAAGGAAAAAGACCAGCATAATTGTCACTATCTGTTGTCAATGGCAATACAAACCAGGCAGCATGTATCTGAGAAAAGAGCATAATGTAGCCTCAGGGTTGTCCACTAGAAATACATGCAGGGACACCTACCCATACACAACATGGCACTACAGGTATCCCAATATTATGTGACAGTTGATCGGAGCAGTATCTCTAAGTGCTAACAAAGACTTTGAGCTCCTAATGAGCAGTCGGAAGCAGCAGCTAGCAAACTGCCAACCCAGTACCCTCATAATGGAAAGTCACAGCCACTGATTAGTCTGACTACCAAAGAGTTAAATCATTGAGCCCCTGGAGACATAGACATGGAATGAGTGCAGACTGGATGATAGGTGAGCCTATCTACTCCATTTAACCTGTAAAAGAGAAGAAAAAAAAAAAAAAAGGGAAAAAATTCATATTAAGTAATGACTTAGTATAAGTTCTGATATCTACTACCAACTAAAAAATTTGGATGCTAACACTTAATTTTTCGGCATTGATAACAGTAAGCATATTCTAAATTAAACAGGTTGGAAGAGGGCTGAATTAATAAGTCCCATAAGTGTACACACACACACACACATATATATATATATAAACACACTCATACATACATGTATATATGTGCTGAATCAAGTATTAAGAAAAAATTAAAACTGAAGGAAGAAACAAAATAGAGAGTAATATTCTGAAATACAATGGCAAAATAAATTAAAAATTCAATTAATATATGTAGCAGGTTCATTATTTAAATAATAGGTAGAAACATTAAATCCATTAGTAATAATAAACAAGTTAAGCTTTTATATATTATAAAGAATTTAAAACAATTGACCTCATAGTCTCTGATAACCCTACAACCACACAATTAAATCCTCTACAAAAAACCAATGTAGTATATCAATTTACATGCCTATATCTCTGATACTAATAATAAACCCACTACATATATTGGTTTTACTACAACCACACCCTTCTGTAGATTTATCTGTCACCTTTCTGATCTTAATTCTATTAAACTACATTTCATAGAAAAACATAGCCATGTACATATTAGACAAATATTAGTTGATAACACAATAATACTCACACAGTAAAAAGAACCTTCAGATATTGGAGGCCATCTACATTAAAATGAAGCAACCCACACTCAACAAAATTACATTTCAAACTAGTGACAACACATTACATTGCATCTAGACATATGGTTCTGTTGTTAATATTTCAGTCTCTTGTGCGGTATGACATCATAGAACCACATCTTGTACTTATGACCTGCATCACTTATTCCATGACCATTATATTTGTATAGCAATCTTCTATGTCAACATAACAAATGGTGGATATCTTTGTTCCAATGTCCATATAACCACTCTGAAGATGGCTCATGTGAGCCGAAAGCTTAGGACCAACTTAATATAAAAAATATCCAAATATTGGACAATATTTGTCATTCACCAGAAATTAAAGGAAACATACAAACTTTAGAATGGCTCATAATCAGATATAATAGACATCATTGTCTGTTATATTTAATAATATATGTTTAAATATATTGTATATGTGTTAGCTTAATTTTTAATTAAACCTCATCTTATTTTGTCATTTTCATTAGAATTCAAACCATTTGTTTTAGCTAAAGTCATTGAAAAGGTTCCAAGGCATTATCATATGTAATTTATAACTTTTAAACATTTACAGTGTATGACCATTGACTGAAAAATATTATAATATTAAAGTAAATGGTTTATAGAAAATTTTTAAACTATTTACATTATTCGGACTATTGTCCTCATTTTTGTTGCCATATTTATCACAGCATTTCAGCTGTTGTACACTCTGTCCTTCTTCAGGTGATTGGAATGTTGAACCACCACTTGAAGAAGGCCAGAGTGTACAACAGCCGAAATGTTGTGATAAATATGGCAACAAAGATGAGGACAATAGTCTGAATAATGTAAATAGTGTACATAATATCTCATCTCAGAAATATAGACAGATATAGAAAATTTTTAAAATAATAAAAAAAAAAAATTTTTTTTATTTTTGTTGGGAGAGGTGATATTTTAAAATTGTTTCTTTTTCATGTCTACATAATATTTGCAATGTATATTGACAAAACTAATTTCATTTTCCTATTTATTTATAGGCAACAATTGGAATAGATTTCCTTTCCAAAACAATGTACTTGGAGGATAGAACTGTAAGTATAGCTTTTATTTTCTATGTTAATTAATTTTTCATAACTTGAAAGAAATAAAATATTGTTACATCCATTTTCATGTATGAAATTATTATAAAATTTAACAAAATTTCTAACTTTTCAGATTCATATTTATTATTTTACTTTTTTCTCAAATCTGAAATAAGATGATGATTGCTAACATTATTACTGGACAGAAGGGAATTTAACAAAGTTATTTCTCTTTAATTTACTTTGTAAGAATCTTATATTAGAGTAGATTGATTTTACACTTTTTTTTCAAATCAACTTTGGACACAGCATGATAGTTGAGGTTTAATGAAATAACAACTGCCACCAAATTTTGAATCATAACTTTTACCCACATTTGAGGAAGCATAATCAAAAATTGCAATCTAAAATGCATTGAAAAGAAAAAAAACTTGTTTTATGTGAAAATATTTCCATAGTTGCATGTTGACAAATGTCCCTTTGTGAATTTTGGCCAGTGTAGCTTCATAGTTGATAACTGATTTTACTCAATCTCTTCTTGGCTGGAATCCCATCCCTTAAAGAATTAAAAAAAAAAAAAAAATAGTTTCTATTTTAATTTTAATCTAAAAATGATTATTCTATTATTATTATTTTTTTAAGTTGCTGTCCCTCCTAATCTAAACCTGCTAACTATATATACTTCAATGATGAATTTGATGAGTTGGTGAAGTTCTAGTGGACAGTTCTCTGGTCCATATACACAGTTAACCTGCTTACATTATTAAGTGGTCCACTTTTCCAGGCAGCAAATATAAAGTTAACTTCACCTTTGGAAATCCTGAGGACATACTCTTAAAGGGGCCTCTATTTGCTGCTTATATCATCCATTGTTCTCACAATATGATTAATGTCATCTATAGGGCCATTGACTTTGACAAATTATATTTGGAATAAATCTTGTTAGCTATTTCACACAGTTTCCTTAGTGGATCTGTAAAAGCAGTTTTGTTTTTCATTGTACCATCATTATATTTGAAAACAGCTGTGAATGAGATCTCATTCTGATGTAACTGAGCAACCACTTTTGTGTAACTTTTATTTTTCTAGTTTTGTCTTATCCCTTCCTATTCTTCAATTCAATTTCACCATTTTCCCCTATAACAGCTTGGTGCACACTTCAGTCTTTCTCAGTCTTCCCATCTCACCTTAACACAAATAAGATTTTCAGTATTTTTCTGTGTCTTTATTTTAAAAGTATACTAATTGATAAATCAGTGTCAGCTTAATTAAGGCCCATAGAGGTGAATTTAACTCTAAATTTACTTCCTGGAAAAATTGGACTAAAAGAAAGGTATTAACAAGAGATGCCACACAGTTGTATAAAACATCTTGATTCATTCAGTTGCATATCTGTGAATTTTTAAAAATCTGTAATGTCTCATAAGATTTTCCCTTGGCTCAAAATATTAATTTCCAGTTTCTTCACTACCAGATGATTGTGAAAAAAAACTATCTTGCACTTGAGATATTGATGTTACTGAATATATTTGCTGCTGCTTCAATCTGTCTGTTTTCTCTCTTAACTACACTCTGGAATTTCAAAACAGCAACTTCATCTACAGGTCCAAGCTATAAGGTGCTCTTTGGTCCTTTGATCTTTCAAGTATTCCCTTTTTTCCACTACAACTGAAAGTATGTTTAATTTATAAAACATTCAAAATAAATATCTGAAAATAGTAGACTAGTAATACCTATGAGTTTATATGGTTAACTATATATTGAATAATTTACCAGAATTGGACATTCTGGGTATGACGATAAACTGTTCATGAAGCTTTGAGGAGCGTGGAACCACTTCTTAATTGCTGATGTGACCTGGTGTGGTTGCACCTGTTAGGGTCTCAGCTATGGGTAAATAGTTAACCCTCAAACATGAGTCAAAACACTATAAAAGTTTAAAAATAGATTTTAATACCAGAACTACTTTGTAAAAAAAATATTACCAGCAATAAATTTTTGAAGGAAAAAAATATTACCTGCAATACATTTTTTGAAAAAAATATATCACCAGCAATACATTTTGAAGAAAAAATATTACCAGAAATAGATTTTTGAAGGAAAAAAATATTGCCAGCAATACATTTTCAAAAAAAATATATTACCAGCAATAAAAATTTTGTGGGTATTAAATAACCCAGTGAAGTTGATATGCCATAAAATAAACCAAACCAGAGAGTTGGGAGCTCTGTGTCATTTAAAGGAGAAGGCTAGCTGTAGATGTTTTTGGCATGATTACTTTGCATAAAGATTAGATTGTTTTCTAATCATTCAGTATTTTTAGAGAAATATGACTGGTTGATGATGATTCTGGTAAATTAAGTCTATTTTAATGCTCATCTGTGTTAAGTTTTTATTAAAAAAAAATCACAATTAGCTTTGTTTATTTTATTATATTTATAAACACTCTTCAAAATAAACTACTGTGAATTTGCCAATGCAAACAGTTAATCCCAAATTTCTTTTATTAAACAATCTAGTTAAAATTAAACTATGCTTTTTTTTAAAATAAAACTTTTGCTTAAAATAAGTAAAACATATTTATGATCTATAATAGGTTTTACAGAGTCCATTATCAAAACCATTTCTTTTTAAAACAAAGAGAAAGTTGACTTAAAAAATAGTGTTTTTTGGATCTTAACATTTCCTGCTATTTGAATACATTATGCTTTTTAATAACATATTTCCTATAATCTGTACTTTTTAAAATTTGTTTTTCATTTTGATATTTTGAAAACAAACTTTAACTGTTTTTTTTACTTTCATTTTTTTTTTTTTTTTTTTTTTTTTTAAAGATAAAAAGCCCACAAGAATATCAAAGAACTTGAATATTCCAATTTTTAAATTGATTTCCTCAAACAAGAGTAGAAGTCAGGAATAAGATAATTTGTTTGTGGTTTTATATCACCACCCCAAAAATATCTAGACTTGTTTAAAACTGTTTAAAAAATCAACTTATCCTTTATATATATATATATATATATATATATATATATGTATATGTATACTAGCAGTAGAGCCTGGCGTTGCCCGGGGATATAACAGTAAGAGATAGATCAAGTATAGACCATCATAAAGACTGAAAAATAAAATTGACAAAGATTATTGTTTAAGGTTGACGGACACGCATGTCTTAGTTTTTTTTTTTTTTTTTTTACGAATTGGTCAAACCCAAATTCAAACAAAAACATTGTTTACAATCGTTATGAGTCTATCGATTGGTGAATAGAATTTTATTATAAACAATTGTCTTGTAAATGGAATTTTTAAAGCATTCTGAATGTATAAATAAAGAAAAAGTGTGCAAGACAATAAGAAATACTACCTGCCCCCGCAAAAAAAGTGGATGTTTGTTTTATCGGCTGAAAAATGTAAGAAATCCGATCCCATATATAAAGAAACACACACACACACACACACACACACACACACACACACAACCTGGGTTTTTAACCTAAGTCACTCCCACGGAATCGCTAAAACATAGAGCATAGTCTGATGAAAAAAGGCGCCAAAGTTTATGAAAACAAAATTTTATCGTCAAAATGCTTATGTTTTTATGAAGAGGATAGACTAAAATTTTTTTAAATTATTTTAAAAAATTTTTCCATCTTTTTAGAATATTCTAAATTTTGATTTAAAAAACCTTGTTTCTCTTTGTCGCAACAAGGGGTAGTAAATAACATATATAATTTTTAGCACGTTTTTTTTGTATTAACACACATTAATTTGGAAAATCTTGCAAAAATAAAAATAATTGTCAGATGTTAATGAAACTTTCAGAAACTATTCACAGATGATCGAAATTATACAAAACTCAATAAAACAAATATATTATTTAGTTTCAAATGCTTTTATTTGTTTTAATTTGTTTTTATGAATATGGACAATATTTTCTGAAAGCAAAAAATTTTTTCAATGAAAATTGAATTTTTAATACAATTATTTCTTATTTCTTTAATCTTAAAAAGATTTTTAAAAAAATTTTAAATTGAATTTTTAAAAATATTTTAACATTAGTTAAAAGCAACATCAACCTTTCAAAATGTCCGTGTGAGATTGTCATTGTCTAGCGCTTTGAAAATTGTATAATTTGGACCAATCAGATTAGCCATGGTAATTAAGAAATGTATTTTTTTGTGTTTATAGTGGGACAGTAATTATCAAGTAACGGAAGACCAACCAGAATACAATTTAGTTGCATTATTTGAGTTCAGCATTGTTCTCCGCTGTTAAGCCCCTTACTTTTTTAGAAACAGGTATGGAGAAGTTAATTTGAGTTTTCAATTTCAACTGAGAAGGGTACCTACAAGTAACAGTATCATCTTATGAAATATAACTACTGCTAAACTTTAATTTATATGATCTTATCTTTATATTAATCTCAGTTATGACATTTTTCCATAAATGAAATATCAAAATTAATAATAAAATGAATGGAAATACAAATAACACTGTAAAATATAATAAATGTACATAAAATTATAGTATTTTATGTACACTTCTGATAAAACTTCATAAGAAAGGTACCTAAATTAATTAGATACCTTTTTCTTATGAAATTTAATCTCACTATTAACAGTCTTATCTTTTAATTTCTTTATATTTTCCATAAAGCATCGTAAACGTAAAGATGAAAGCTAAGTACAAAAAAAAAAAAAATTAGAGCGCTGAAAGTTTTCCTTAAAAGTAACGAGGTAAATAATTTGTTCACTTAAATAATTTCACTTCTTTCCATGCGTAGAAAGAATTATCCTCCCATAAGTCATCTAAACGTCATGAATGTGCCTTTCGTCAATCGTCAAGCGACGTGAAAGGTTATGACCTTCTTTGTTTTATTTTCTAATTACATTTTTTCGGTGCAGAAGCTAAGTTAAGCTTGGTTCAAAATATTTTAAATAAACAGTATAATTTCTGTTTTTATTAAAATCAGTTTTGAAAAAATGATAATTGATTTTTAAAAGAATATC